GTAACGGTTAGCGTATCGGACTGGTATACCAAAGTTGGCGGGTTCAAATCGAAGCCGTAGATTTTTAAGGGCAAAAAAAAATCCTTCGTACGCCTTTCTTTGGAGGGGAAGTAAAGCCGGCTGTTCCATGTTAGTAGATTTACTTGCATGTAAAAGAGATCCTCAAGCCTAAATGACGCCTCTGAGCTAAATTCAAAAATCACCTGTTTCTCGCCCAAGAAATACCTCCTTCCTCTGCTAGTTGGTGAAAGGAGCGTAGCGAAATTTGCGTGGTCAGACGGAAGAGCGGGCCTGGTGGCCCGAGTCTCGCCACGTAAAATAAGGCATTAATTCAATTTAATCCTGACAGTGCGACCGGGAGAGTTGGCATCAACTGAGTTTCACTGCAGTGCCTCTGATCTGGACGTTCTAGGTTCGAGTCCCGACGATGGCCGTGTTTTCGACACTAGCTTATTAGCGAGGTCGCACTGAGTCGCTGTCTGGAGGAGAATTCTAGCGGCTGGCTGCTCTAACTGCTAGTTTTCCGTGGTTCCTCCGATCAACACCATGCGAATGCCAGAGGAACGGGCCTAGCAAACGTGCCCCGGATCGTGCGCGATCTTTCCTTCCTCACCCCTTACGCACACTCTAACATGCACCACACATGCCGGGAGACCACTGGGAGATTAGAGTTTGTTTCAGGTGGGGCGGTGCCACGCTCGTGGGAGGTACCTTGTAGGATAAAACCCTGCAAGCCGAAGGTAGTTCGGCCATTCAGAGGCGGAAGACCACCGCCCCCCGTAGGAAAAAAACGTGCACTACTCTTTCGGGAATAATGACCGTAGCAGTTGACGCGTCCAGAATCACAAACATTCAATCAATCAATCAACCAATCTGATGGCGCGGTCTTAAGGTAGGCATCTACGGGCAGGTTGCGCTTTGAGAGCCAGTTCGCACTGGATGTAACTTCTGCGAAAAGTTGTAATAATTTTCAAAGAGTATAATGAAAGAAAATGAACTCAGATAAGTGTTCAAATTGTAGGATTAATATGTACCTCATGTTACCTTGGAGAACTAGAACGTTAGAACGATTGTGGGTACAATAGTACGCATGAGATTTGACAGGCATTTGACATTTGATAGGAAAACAAGCAAGAGGGAGTGTGCGAATACGGGCAAAGGGAGAACGAAGGGGCCAGCAAGAGACCGGGAGAAACTGCAAAGGACGGATAGTCACTCTCGGTCGGGAGAACTGGCCGATATTTGCCCGACTGCCTTCCAATATCACACAGCCCGGCCATCGCTTTGCCACAGTCGTTGGCAAACTCTGTCTACAAATTCACTGAGCACACGACGTCACTTTGTGCAATAGCTATCGCCGAATCATGCATGTTCTATTACACCAAGCTGAGGTGAACCGTGACTTCATGTTCCTTCAACCTTTGAAACCGGTCTTCAAATTTTGTGTCCATTATCTCTTCTCCTGTTTCCCTGATTTTTTACATTCTACTACTCGTATTACCCCACAATTCTTCATTTCGTTGCAACCTTTACTTTATTCCGTTCGACCATTCAACTCCTACATTTTTCATTCAACTAAGTTGATGTCACAAAACTTGCCGTACGTTTGGGTTTCTATTTCACGTAATAAAATTTTAGAGCATGTTACTCCAGTTGGATATCATTTTGAATGGACTGCCAAATGGAGCGGATATAGCGAGTGACTGTAAATATATTCGAAGAGTGAACGAGGGAAAAAACCACATCTGAAGGCGGTATCAACTGAGTAATAGCAAGCGTGGCGTCATAAAATGGCGATCAGGGTGAAGATAGAAGAAAAAAAGGGGAATATTGAGGATGAAGAGAATGGGGAGGATTAGGATCATAAAAAGGAAGAAGAATTAACGAGGATAAAGAAAAAGGAAATAAGTAGGATAAGAAAAACAAGAAAGAAAAAGTACGGAAAATGAGGATTAGGGGAAAAGAAATCTGAAGGCGTAGTCAGCAGACTAACAGTAAGGGAGGCATTATAAAACAGCCACCAGGTCAGAGTAAGAAGAGGGAAACGAGGAGCCAACGGAGAAGGACACAAGGACCTTCGAAGGCGGACTCGGCCTACAGGCAGCGAGGCGCCGTAGAACGGAACACGGACCGAAGAGGCGCATACGCGCGGAGAGGGCGAGGGAGGGGGAGGGGAGGAGAAGCGAAGGCGGGCGTTGGTGTTGACGCAGCGGATGGAGGCGGGTGGGGGGTAGAAGGGCACCGCCCCTCGTCTCCTGCGCGTTCGAGTGTGCGCTTCATTGGTATGCGACCGCCGACGCCGCCGGCACCGGACGCCGCACGCCTCATCCCCGCCTCGGCCTTCGCCGCCGCCGCCGCCGCCGCCGCCGCCGCTGACGCCGCCGCCGCCGCCGCTGACCGAAGCGAACGCGCGCCCCACCTCCCGCGCGTGCCAGGTGCTCAACCTGGCCGCAGCTGCCCCTCGGGCACAGTAGCTCAGCGTCAGCGTAGTCGCTATCTCTACAGGTCTCTGGCCGGGAAGTCCTAGAGTTTCGGTGCTGTCTCGTGTCGACGGCGGCAGATTTTTGACATTAGCTAGATAACTTGATGGGATTCGATCACTGTCTGACGAATTCTAGCGACCGGCTGCTGTCGTTGGTGGTTTCCCTTATCGACCCCTGTTAATGCCGGAACAGTACTCGAACAAACGGTCTAAAGACCACGCACAATCTTTCCTTCCTCTCCCTTGTTCTATGCTTACCCCTTGATTAGACATACTGACATTCACATGTACTACACTACCAAAAAACGAAGACAGTCAGAAGCTTAGAGCTAGTCCCGCCTGCGACGCTGGGGGAGATATCTGGAGGGGGATATCCCACAAACCGACGTGTAGGTCAGCGCGGGATCTAATCATTCAGTAAGAAATAAATTATTTCTACCTTCCGGGATGAAACATTTATTAGACTAACCAAACTAATGGCAATAGCAGTTGACGTTTCCAGAAACATCAATAAATAAATAAATCAATATTTGGGCACAGTCGAAGATCTTGATGCATGGAAGCGACATCGCCAAAACGTCGATGAAACTAGGACTCTGATGTTAATAATACATCGTCTAAAAACGCATGTGTTTTCAAACATTCATTGCCTTAAAATGGGTTCAATAAATCCCAGAATTAATGTTGCTGAGAAGGGGATTGGATTTTTCATTGACCTTTGTTAATAAAATTAAAGATTTAATTGGCATTGAAGTCGAAATATAAGAACAATGGACACGAGAAATTTGAACGATATGGTATTTTATTAAATTCAAGAGTAACATATTGACAATGTAAAAACGTCGAGAACTAAACATCGTTGTTAAAAAAAACATTGATATCAATAAATCGCTAATAAAAGTAACGAAGTTTGTATAAAAACATCCATGTTTTGCATTAATCGACGTTGTCACATATCCATCCCATTGTCACGATGTCCATTTACTTACGTTTTCCAGATGCATCTCCGAACACATGCTGAGATTGTAACTACTACAGTTACTAATAGACTGTATCTACTCACATTCATTAAACTTAATAATAATAATAATAATAATAATAATAATAATAATAATAATAATAATAATAATAATAATATTGTGTTCCTCAGCGAATTATCTGATAGATCGTCACTGGCCTTTGTCATTCATAGATCCAGCGAGAGATGAGAACTGATATTTCCTCTTTAGCCCACATCTAAATGAAATGAATTTCCCGCCACGTGCAACTTCCAGACGCATATTCTTTGGCTAAAAGTGTTTACTCTGAATCCCTCTGTATGCTCTAGGAGAAACAACTATTTTGAAAAGCATTATGTATAGTCGAAAATCTACTTTGCCTTTGCTCAGTAACGAGTTTTTCGAAATCATAACATAATAATAAATATTGCCCTAATCTTTCAATTTTCGTTGTAATATCAGTTGTTAAAAATATATCTTGTAAAAATATTAAAAATTTGGTTGAAATACTATTTTTGTTCTCAAAAGATTTTAAAATATTGTGGAACGCCTATTTTTATTATATAATTCAGTTTTTGTAAACAAGTGACTAATTCACAAATGTATGTTACATGTTATTACATATTTTATTGTTATAAATAGCTTTTTAAATTAGGTTTAAGTTGTATTTTAAGTTATTTCAATACTCAATGAAGAGATAGTTTTTTTTCAAACAAATTGTTTCAAATTAAATTTACTTGATCTATGGACTGACACGAATGTTTCTAAATTGTATACTTTATTAAAAATTAATCATCACATTTTGAAAGGTTATTCAAACATGAAAAATAATAACGACAGTTGATAAAGATGTATTCTTAATATTAAAACGTAATGATTGGGTGGAATACACTTCACAGAAAAATATAATACAGGTTTATATCTCACAGAGAGTAATAATTCTCACAGAGAAAATAAACCTTTTTAATAAAATAAATGCAAATTCAAATATTATTCAATTTCCATTCATAAGTTACTTCTGTCAATAAACTTTCACCGGAATAGTATTTCATGCTAAAAGTAAACAATTTCTCCTCTAGACATTTCGTAATCGCATGGTATTGGAATATTTTTACGAAATTCCATTTGTAAATAAGTTTAAATACGTACCTCATTTTGCTACTACAAGCTTTATTACATTCATAGCTAATTTATGTACAGGGCGATAAATTATAAAATCTTTACTGCATTCTTAGGCTGACAGAACTCGAAATACAAAATTTCAGTTAAGACAGTAATTTTATAATTTTTTATACTAATAATTATTAACACAACTTCTACGAAAAATTTCAGTAATGATTACGCCTTTATCCAAAAAATACATATTATGCTTACATTGCCCATATTTCTATCACCAGCAATAGCCTCAGTCTTGTTTATCTCATTATCGATTTTACTCACATCTTGCTATTTAATATTTTTTACGTCAATTAAATGAATTGTACGTAATATTTGTTTACTTTAGTACTACTTGTGAAATCTTATGGGTTCCAATCATCGCACATTGATTCCTCCCAGTTCATGAACATCACATTCAAACTATGCACGTTCTAAAAAATATTCGTAATTATTTTATTTTCCTTTTTCTTTTCACTCTTCCTAAAAATATGTTGTGATGAAAGCACACATGTATTCGCCATAATATCTCTCTCTCTACCTTTGCTACATATCCGAAATACCCAGTCATTCCATAATATTAGGGCATGATCAAAATAATACTGACATTTCTTCAACATAACGAAATAAATGTTCTATAATTTGGTTTGTTTAGGCAATATTTACCATTGTTATAGATATAATTAATTAATTCACTCGTGAATAAACCAATACCAACACCATTATTTTGAATGATGTAAAGAAGCGCCTTGCTATTTTCTTTATCTAGTTCCATTTGGTGGGTGGATATTGGCGTTCGCATTAAAACGTACTCTTACGACCAGACGACAGTCAGAGAAATAGCTCTAAAACATTCATTGCTCTGAAGTTGGTCTCATCTGTATTTTAAATGAACCTAGGGCCCATTGCGTTTTGATAAAGAGCATAGATAAAGATGCGTATTTCTCCATACAACGTAGAAACAAGAGGTACCCATTAAATTGTTATCGCATCGTTTATACTTTAGCACCATTTGGTTTACAGCCTTCAAACCCATTTGTGCTGGTATCTCCGCTTAAGGAACAATGCAAATTACTGCTCGGGATATTTTGACTTCGTAACAATTTAAGTTTTTTCTCAGTCTGTAGACATTATTGAAGGTCTGAAATAAGATGAAATAATTAAGACATTATATAGAAGTTTATATTGGATATGTGTAAAGAAATCTAACATTTCACAAAACGAAAAAGTTAAAAATAATGCAACACTATGAGACACAAGAGTAATTTTTCATTACTAATATTCATGAATTTTACAGGAATGTATTTTGTAATATTTTTAAAACAGAAAAGTATTACAATAGTAATAGTAAAATTTTGAGTATGGAATGATGAAAGAGAGGAAGGGTTAGAGCGAAAAGAGCGAAGGGGTAGATCTACTCTGGCACGTAATTAAGAAGTATAAACGTGAAGACAAACTTTCTGAAAAAGTATGTAACAAATCATAATTTTGTAAACGAAAAAAAATATGATGAATATTCGTTTCCCAATTTACATCCAATTATCTGAAATTGTTTATCAATTAGAATAATGATACTAGGTTTGGTAGTACCATAATAAAAAATCTAAAACTGCATTGCCAACAACAATGAAAATCACATATTTAGTGAACCATTCATCTCTCCACTACGTCATTGTCCATAAATTTTCCTTCAGTAACACATCACGGGCTACCGCAACACCGCAAAATTCGTCAAAGTCGCGTTAGAACGAAATTCAGGCGCAGGCAGAGACATCGATATATTATATGTTATCAGGCGCCATCTCGCAGAGGGAGCTCTGGCCGAGGGGACGGGAGGTGGAAGCCGCATGACTTGTGGCTCTTCGCGGCGAATCCCGGGCGATAAATTCGCCCGCGGGCGAGAGGGCGGGCGTCAGCCTATCCGGCGCGCCTCTAGCGGGCCACGCACAACCCCCGTGCCTTGCAGTGGGCCGGATGCGTCGTATCAACGAACGGAAAACACTAGATTGATTCATGTTTCTGGACTGCTAAGACTGCCTGATTCCTTACGTGTAGTGCACGTGTTATTGTGGGCGGTGGCGGTAATCTTCCCCCACTGGCTGGCGACATCCGACGCCGATCGGCTGGCGGGGATTTCCCCAACCAGGTATCTCCTTCTAGCGGGGCATCGACCCAGTCGGAACAATCTCTAAGCTTCCTACTGGTGTTCCTACATTTGTGGTAGTGTAGCGCCTTTGAAAGTGTGAAAATACAAGATTATCACTGAATTAAGATTCGGCTGACGGTGTTGGTATTGCGGCCTTGTGTTGTGGTCCTACTTAGAGAAACCTTATCAGAGAGTGGGAATCTCTCGTCTGGGTGTCCTGAATGTCGGTGATACATCTCTAGCACGAGGAGGGCGCTCCGTGCCTCCAGGGCGTAACAACTCGCGTTACCCTCAGTTGGACTCTTGGCTTCGTGGGGGCAGTGTCCGACATACATGGTTATGGAAGAGGAACACGACTCGAAATCAGTCAGCGGCGTAAATAGGTACGTACCGTTCCGGTACCTTTACGGAAAGTTGATAGTGTCAAGCTGACGAGGCAGCCTTGCTCGTACTGGTGGTAGTCATGCATATCGCAGTTCTCGCGTCCCAGTAATGCGTACGGCGAGGGAATTTGGAAAGTAGCCCAACGATGTAGTTTTCCCCCGCAGGGGCTGAGGATAAGAGCAATACTCAATAGGGTGTCAAATCCTCCTGGTAATGTGCAAGTATGTGTGTCTCGTTCACGGATAAGTTAACGTTGTCCAAACGAGGTATTGGATGAATGGCAGTGATATTTGCACACTAGGTGTTGACGGTACCACTCTAGCACTATAAAATCTCACCATGGCTCTAGATGTAAGTTATACATGTTCATTTAGTATTAAGCAAGAAGTACAAGGTGTGGAAATACATTAAAGTAAGCGCTTCAAGCTCTATACAAGTATTGTCAAATGTTATGTTCTTTGCAAGCCGAAGATTAGAGAATGAGAGCCAGAAACCAAGATGTCCTAAGCGGAGAGATAGTAAATATTACACTTTGCATATCATATAGCTGGCTTATAATTTTAAATTAAGCTTTAGAATATCAGAAAAAAAGTGTTTCCTTAATGGCTTAATTTAGTATAATTCGTTCCGAAAGTAGATTGAATAGTACCCTTATAGCCGAGCGTCCGACATATTTCTTTGTGTATAACATTTCTCGCCAAGACACGCAGTAGCGATTAATAATGCAGAACTACCTCTTTTGAAAATACAAAAAGTCCATAGACTTATATTTAGAAACTAAAGGTAGCTTGGCTTAGTCATTATCTACGTTTCTTCCACGCAAAATATATATTTTGACTCTTGAATAACCAAAATCCGTTGTGGAGTAAGGAGAAGGATATCAGGAAAGGAGACGACGAAAGAGTAACCTTCCTCTTTTTGCCCTGTGGGATAAAATCAACAAAAAACAAATCACGTTGTGGATAAAAAGAGAAGGAAACGAGAGGGCATGGTAAGAATGAGGTTGCACTGAGCAAAATGGGTGGAACGGGGCAGGTTGGACAGAGATTTTTAATAGTCAGTTGCCACATTGCTTTAATGCAAGAATTGGGGCCATACTTCCCATAGTGAGGCCTTGCAGTAGCCCACGAGTTATTTTGACTACATTAGAGCTCCTGAGCGCCTGCTCTCCCCTTAGGTCGGGTTGACTCAACAACAAGCTTGTCACACCGGTGGCCCTCACATAAGCACTGGTGCCAAGTGGACCACGCATTTCAGCAGCACTGATCTAGGCACTGGGTGCAGCGAGAAAGGAAGTGGTAAAATGAGGCTGGGTAAGAAGGGGAAGGACAGAATTTTGTAGGGCGAAAGTGAGCGAGTTAAAAGTGACGAGAGGGGGCGGGACGTCAAAGTAACAAATGAGGAGAGGAGGCAAACAACGAGGTAGGCGTAGCTGCAACAAGACGGATTGAAATGGGACGATGAGATAGGAGTAGAATGTGATGGACCGAGATAGACTAGACGGAACCGGGCGGAGCTTAGTGGGGAAGAGAGCGAGAGTATGCAGTGCGTGGCTTGAGTGAGAAAAGAAGATCTTAGATTCGCGTAAGGTTGCAACGTGAAACTTAAAATTCCAATCAAACATAATCCTCTCGCGAATCAGAGTTGCATATCAAAATCTCGTCACAAGCACGTACCACGCTCCAGCGTGGGACGCCAGCAGAATTGAATACAATTCCAAAACCGACCAAATGTCGGAATTATTCTATAAAAGAGTTTTCAACTACAATAATTTGCACTTTTGTAAGTGATGCAATGTGGAGCATGTAAAATAAAACACAAAACCATATTTTCTCCAAACAACATTAAGTGGGAATTGCATGATGAAATGAAACTATTAAATTGTACTTCAATGGCGTGACCAACAAAAATAGTGATATGCTAATCGGGAATGCTAACCTTCAAACCTTGAATGTGACAGTGAACGTACAAGACTGCCAATATATAAATTACATAACTGTATTTTGATCGAGAAAACATCGGTCCTCGGAAATTAAAAAAAATTCTCGTACATTATGGCAGAAATGTTAAATTATTCAAGTAGACAAATGATATATGGTCACAACCTTCCTCCAAAGAGAATCATATGTTAGCTCTTAGCCGGCATCGGTTGAAATGGCTCAGTGCAACTGTCACTGCAGTGACCCGTTGTCACTGCAGCACCTATGATCGGGAGGTCTGCCGGGAGTTCTGAGAGTATTGGATATTCGAAATTCGCTTAATAATTAGGACGAATTCAGCCGCCACAGTCTGGAGGAGAAATCTAGCACCTGGCTGATGACATCTTTCCGTGGTTTCTCCAACGGGGCCAACGCCGGAGCAGTAACCTGACAAACGGGCCACGGACCACGCCCAGAGTTTCTATCCCCATCCTGTTCCCTATAACCCTCATCCTGTTTCCTCATCCCGTTACACAATCATACAAACTTGTATTTACGTTCACTACGCTATAACACACATCGGTAGAAAAGTCAAGAGTCCACTGTCTGCCCCTGCTAGAGCACAACTCCACTGAGTGAGATATCTGGAGGTGGAAATCTCAAACACCTACGTGTTTGTCAGCACCGAATCTCACATTACAGAAGATCATCACATTCTGGCTATAACATGCACTACAGTCACGAAACTCATGACCGACTAGTTGACACACCTGGAATCACAAAACACTCTCTAACTGTCGCCACAAAAGTCAGTTAGCAAACGATTCGCCTCCCTACGCCTCCGCAATTGCCACCCACTGTGTCCCGCTGACCGGCCTCGCCGGGCCTCAGAGCCGCGGCTCAAAAACCTTCATTACTGCGCCGGGAAGTGGGTTTGAAGCCTGCCAATATTTCGCTGCCGCCCGTTAGAGCTCCGCCGACGCGT